GGCGTCCTGGAGGCGAAGTGCTGGAGTGGTGTGCGAGGCGAAGTCTTGAGTTCGGATAGGGGAGTGTCCCGAACTGCCATGAGGCGGGCCAGTTCGGGTCACTGCTTTGTGTGGCTCGGGACCTAAGAGAGAGTTCGGGCTCCTCGTAGGAAGTTCGAGCTCTTAGAAGGGAGTTCGGACTGCTGGTTTCTTCCCTTTGGTGCTTGCGCCCTGAGTACGCTGCTTTAAGTGCCGAGCTATTTGTTTTTGCAACGTGGAGTGATTGCGAGGTCGGGCCAAATCTTCCTTCATCACTTCTCATTTTCCAAACTATTAGCTGAATACAAATTCACTACAGGTGGTAGACTGGAATACTGTGTCTTATTTCTAGTTCATGACTTCAGTCCTATTTAAATTTAGGTGGTAGTAATTTCAATCCCAAAAGAAAGATCAAGCCCACATAAGAAAATAGCATGCAGCTTCTATTGAAGAGCAGACTGGTTTACATCGAAGATCAATTCTTCGTACACTATTTGATTCCATCAAGTGTCAACTACACCTTAGAAATAACACCAACCACAATCTACATAAGAAAGAGAGCAATAAGATGAAGCAATGAAGAAGAAGAAGAGATGGAGGATAAGAACAAGAAGGAAATCCCCACCACATTTACACTATAGAAAATGGAAATTGAATATTCACTATCTAAAGAAACCATAAATCCAACACGAGCATTGCGTAGGAACAATTAAAAATTCTACAAATATTTGAGAAAAAAGGATTTATACCTGACAGCGAGCAACAATGTCGAAATGCCCAGCCAAGATATCAACGAGCTTCCCTTTGACTTCATCACCGCACTGGCAACCCAGCACGCCCGAAACCTGACTCAGCGATTTAACTCGGTCCAAACCGTATCCGGTCTGCTCAGCCGCTCCCAACGGGGAGGAAGAAGCCGCAGCCTTTGCAGAGCATGCTATGAGCTTCCGGGAGGTCCTAGAAGCGCATGGGGACAGCAAAAAAGGCCTATGGTTTCTGCTCTTTCCGCCATGAAAGCTACTCCGAGGAGATGAAATAGGATTTAAATCGAGTCTCAGAGTAGAAAGGCTCATACTGGTACCTGAAGCTCAGACCAAATGGCGGAAAAATGGAGATGAAAATACGAGAAAACGTGGGAAAGCTGGTTACGGAATACGGAGGGAAAGCTTTTATTGCAACTCTTTTCTGTGGATCCTGGGTGAAAACTGAAAAGGAATGTGAGTGAGAGACAATGATACTGTACATGCATAAACACAACCAAATGAAATGCACATGATATACATCGTTATCAACTCGAATTTCAAATAGATCAAACGGTAGACAGCACTTGTGCAAGTAATCTTAACGATGGTCGATATTGCTCTTAAAAGAACCTTTCGTACTCGCGAGGCGCAAGTTGACTGTGGCTTATATTTCACGCTCGTCGCTCGGGACCCACTATTATTAACATCGACTAATGGATACTGAGATCGGATTTGCTCCTCCAAGCGCGCCTCACACCAGCCTTACAGCGCATCGCAGCCGTGCATCTCCCGTTGATTTATAACATTAATTATTGAAGATGCTCCCAATGCACGGCTGCGATGTACTGCGAGTTTGGTGTGAGGCGCGATAGATGCGTTTGGAAACAATGCAAATGGAGTGTAAATTTTGGTTCAGGGTAAATTTACATTTTGGTTCATTTTTGTTTGTGTTTGACAATATTATATTTATGTATTGACATATGACACACTAATGCATATTCACATTAATAATAAGATGTAAAAGTACATCAATAAAAAATAAGTAAATTTGCATTTAAATGGGTTTTTGATAAAAAAGGCATATGCTTTATTAGAATTCGTGTTTGCATCCATTATAGCTAAAAGTCTGTTTGGTAAGAAGGTAAATTGGTCAGTGCAAAACTAACCCAACTTTGCAATTTATATGAACCGTTTTACACTACATATTTGCATTCACACTTATTTGCATCGTTTCCAAACACAGGCTAAGGAATAAATTAATCAATCATAGGGATAAGTTACTACATTTCACCTCATAATTCTGAATTGAACTGCAATCCTACAACAATTCAAAATTTAAAACAATTCCACCTATAACACTCATACCCGCTCGTGAATTGGCATCAATTCCGAGTTGGCACCTACCCCAATTGTACGGTGGAGCTAAGATTTATGGGAGTGAACATAACAATTAAAACCCCTTGTCTCTTAGATATTCTAGCTTTCTCCTTATACAACATGATTCACACCAACCTCACAATGCATCGTAGTTATACATTGGGCAAGAAGATCTGTACAAGTCAGGCTTCTCGATTTGGACAATTTCAACTTATGACCCGCCTGCCCCGGGCTTGTATCAAGTCCGCACACAATGCAGACCGAGCCCTGGCTAAGCAAGCCTTAGGGCCGGCCCCAAAATTGTAGTGTATACACAATATATAGTATTAATATCTTCTACCAATCTGTATAGTATAATATCTTATACATTTGGGGGGACATTCTTTTTTTGGATTTTGAGAGGGGGGAAGTTGGCCAATGGGATTTTGGTTCCAATTGACCAAAAATCCCATGTTCTTTTTTCAGATTAATGTGGGGACCAAGGAAAGTTTGAGATGGGTAAATGTCTAAGTGATACCCATCATCTTCTACTGGGGGAAAAGTTTCCAACACCTGGATAAGACAAAAATGCCATCTTTTAATAATAGATTTTTATGGCTAAAATGCTCATTTCCTTTTTTACTTGGAAAATAAAAGAGGTATTTAATCATATATCACCGATAGGGATGATAATTGTTTTTTTCTTTTTGAGAATGAGAATAGCACATCAACATACTAATAATTCTCATTAAAAGTCGGCGGTTGCGAGACTCAAATCCACACATCTGCTGGAACAAACTAACAACCAACTAAGCCACCGCTCAGTTAGATCAATTGGTATAATATCTTACAATTATTTTTTTAATATTTTAATATTTTATAAAATACAAATCAGTACAAGTAATATTTTATATATGATTTATAACATGTATGTATGTATATGGCTTTAAACCTCCCCTTCACCTTTCTAAAAGGTACCCCTCATGATTGGCATGTCAAGAATCTACGCCTTGTGACATGCAAGTGGAGAGAGATTGAATAGGGAAAAATAAATAGACTAAAATTATAATTCAGATTAGCTGAACATGATGGTTCCAATCATAAATTATTCATAGGTTGAATGGTTTTGGGCCTTTTGGCCGTGGGTCATTAGCATTAGTTCCACGGCTTGCTAAAAAGTTATTGAATTCAGTTAATCCTGTCTCCTAATATTATGAAATTATGAAGCCAAGGCAAGTATAAGCATTCTAGGACCCACACCAGTTGAGAAACAAACCCCAAATCAATATTTTCCCAAACCAGATATAGGACTTTCGTTATTAAAACTCAACACACACACACAGATGTTTGAGGAACACCCCTAAATTGAAATGATTAAACTTAACCAAAATGTGATTAATGCAGTTCGAACATACTTTTTTGAATCCTGATTCAGCTTTGCTCTGACCTTTAAAAGGACCCTTCACTTATTTAGAGAGAAACTTGGACAACAACAATACTATTATTCACTTTACCATCTTTCATTAAACTAACTTGCTCCAAAAAGCCTCGGGCTCAGAAATTTAAGTTAACAAAGCACCTCAAGCCTCTCACATCCTAGTTATATCATGATAAATTAATAATTTTTCATGGAAAATTTTCTTAAAATATGTGCCTATAAGCAAAAATAATAATTTGTTGAGAATTGCAAAGGGTATGTAACTTTTTAAGAATTTCAAAGCTGCATTAAAATTTTGCATGCAAATTGCATATCGACAGCAACATGACCAATCTGATCCTACATAAGGAATTCGAAGTATTTGTAGATTTTGAGTGCAATAGAGCCGGTATAAGCACTGGAGAAAATTTAAATGGACTCCATTGTTTCACGAGTTTGGAGAACAAGAAAGAACCTTATCGAGAAAGCAAAATATCAGAGCTGGATCGGTGGCAACTCTGCTAAAAGAAGATTGCTTTAGAGCACCAAGTCCCGATGCCTTAACCATAACTTCACCATTGTGCCTTCGTCACTCATCATGTTCTTGTCACTTATTAACATAAATATATGTAACATCTTATCAATAATCATATTGGCTTGCACTCGGAGTGAATTAATTGGCTTATGTGTTTCTTTTCACTTTCATGGTAAAACCAGAATATAAGCAGAGAAAGCAGAGACAAAACACTCAAAAGACTAGTATACAATACACCATTAACTCCAACAATCCATCTTTAATTCCCTCCTTTCAGCTGCTCTTTTGGACAATGCCATTCTCAATCAAATATTCAACAAATTCATCTATAAGGTAGGGCCAAGCACCTTCTGCATCATAGTTTGACAGAGCAGGATCTACTGTCTGCATTGACTAAAGCATTATGAACATCAGTAATATGTTTGAAGTCAGCATCCACCAATCATGTTATTATGGATCCAACCAATCACACACATGCAAGTGTCAAACTTTGAAACATCCCAATACTCTGTTCAAAAAGAGACCAAGTTTTCTTTTGCCAACAAAGATTTTTCTTTATCAATAACAGTATAATTTTATTACTTTGAAAAAAAAAATCATTACAGGTTTTGTGGTTCGCACCCCTTCACAAAATGTTTATCTTTGCTGACCCCATTACATCTTATCAAATTGGTATTATGCCCCAATACATGTTTCTTTGTGCCCCAAATATTGATAGGTTGTCAGCCAATTGATTAGCTGATCTTGAGCTAGGGGGTTATGAAGGATAAATTAGGTGATAAATAGTCAATTTAATTTCTCATTCTTTGTGTGTCTTGTTTGGCATCTCTTACTGGGAACACTGAATTTGGCTCAGACGAAATGGGAGTTTAGCTGCAACATTAGGGGTTGGGCTGCATTCAATAGAGCTTCATAAGCTTGTGAATGGTGGAGGGAGGTTAGTGAAGAGAATGGAAGGAAACAAATCTGATTTTGTCATGTTTCCTAGCTGCTGGGCTTTGTTGGTTAGCATTGGTTGGCTGTTGGTGGGGTGGTTGTCTTTGGTGATGGTGGTCTCTTCTTTTTTTTTTTTTTAAATAATTTAATTTCCTTCTTCTTAAGTTAGGTTCTGAGTCAGTGGATGGTTAACATTGGCTCATTCATTCCTTGGACATTTCTGCATGGAAGGAAAATGAGCAATTATGGGTTGGCAGGAAGGGTTTTTTGTGCTGCCACCCATTGCCCTGGTCTTTTCAGGACAGGGTGACCGGTATACACCTTAGATGCGTTTCCTCTTTTTATTCAAACAAAGGTTTTCTTTATTACCAAAAAAGTTTTTTTACAAGCAACAATAAAAAAATCATTTTACACAGACCATACAACATACAGAGAAATTAAGATGTTGGAATGTCACATTTCAAGAAGTCATAATACTAAGAAGAAACTCAACTCAACTCAGCCTTAATCCCAAGAATACTATGGAAAAAAATAAACAAAAAAAGGAGATTACCTAGATAACTTGATACTTAATGAGACAAAAAGGGAAAGTTCTGGTGTTATCAAGCACCATAATGAAAGAGCCTTTTTTTAAGGATTGAAGGCATCTATTGCCCAGCCACTAATGAGCTATGTAACTGTTCAAAAGTAAGCACTTGTGGCTTGATAGATATGGAAGAAGTTTCCATGTTTAGCAATACAAAAGAGAGTGGATAGAAACAGGTATAGATCTCTTCAGGGTCAGTAGCTGTGACCAAACTGGCAAAGAAACTAAATTTGCATACCATATATATATGCCAAGATGGCTACAGTGGGAAAGCACATAGAAAACAAGAATCAAGGAGTGAAGGACATAATCACACACAGAATGCACATAATGAAACCAATCTACAAAGCACATATGGACAATAATGCATATTTATGCTCCATGCATGCATGTGAGCCACACAATTATCCAATATCATGTAGTACAAATTCTTACCCTCGCAAATTCCAGTAGTTGAGACCAGGTGTCCCTTGGGATTGCTTTGTTATGTCGGGCCTAAGTTCAGAGGCATCAAAATATTAATAATAGAAATATAATGTAATCAATTTCGAGTGGAACATTTATTCACTTAAACTCAGAGATTTGAATCACTGCTTAGCTGAAAATTACATAGAATAACCATGGTAGGATCCAATGGTGATTGACCAATGAAAGAAGAAATGAAAGAATTAAACATCAACTAGGTGGGGGAAAAAGGTCTATAAGTTGATCATGACGATCTCCCAAAACCCATCAATGCTCCTCCAAAATGTCTCCAGATTGAATGCTTAAATACATGTTTTGAAGCAACCAATATGAAGTGATCCTTACAATTGGAATAGAATCATTTCACAAGAGAGGAAGAAAAATTCTACCCATGTTCAGCAAAATTCAAAAACTTACTACTTGATCTACCCATCTAGAAAATTCAAATTTGTCATAAATTAAGGATAACTTCACTAAGCTTTCTTAAAGATTTTTCCAATTTTTCCCAGGAGAAAACTATCAAAACGTCACTTTTTGGGACACTTGAATGTCAGGTCTTGGTATTCACAACTAGAGACCTGCATAAACTATTCAGGAGTTAATAGTTTCAGACTCTAAGTAGTCCATCAATTACATATACCCCTAGTAAGGTAGCTCTGTAGTTTGTTCTCTATGTAAGTAATTCCCCACACCCACTCCCTACCCCATGAAAAAGTAAAACCAAGTGAGGCAAGGAGACCAAGGAAGAAAACCTTTCAACCATTTGAATTTTTTATTATTTTTTTACAATAAACCAAAATGGATTAAGAAAGTAAAATGGTTTACAAGCACTATACGGGCAGCGAAGTTAACCAAACAAAAAAGAACCTCAAAGGTCATCCCAGATTCAAAGTGAAGACAAAAGAGCCTAGTCATAGGGATATGAGGGAGGTGATTAGTCTTTGAGAAAATGACAAATCGGAAAGTCAACTTCAATAAGACTTGTGTGGCAGGTATCAACATGGATGATGAAGAGATAATATGAATGTGCAACAATTCTGGGTTTACCTCTGGGGGCAACCCGGTGGTGGATAGGTTCTCAAAAAGGCTTGCCTCCTGGAAAAGGAATTATCTCTCGACGGGTGGAAGAATTACCCTGATCAAATCAACTTTGGCCAATCTGGCAGTCTACTTCCTTTCGGTTTTTAGGATGCCTGTGGGGATTTGTAGAAGGTTAGAGAAGGTAGTGAGGGATTTCTTATGGGAGCTGAGAGAGGAAAAGAGGGATCATAGGGTGAGATGGGAAATGGTGATTAGAAGCAAGGAGATAGGGGGTCTAGGAATCGGGAACATTCAGAAGAGGAATACGGCCTTGTTGGGAAAATGGTTATGGAGGTTTCTGGTGGATCAAGATAAATTGTGGACAAAGGTGATTAAGAGCATACATGGGGTGACGACAGATGGCTGGGATGCAGGAATTTCGGCCAGAGAACCTACAACAGCACCTTGGAAAGCATTCCATGCTATTCTTCCTTGTTTTCTACCTTTTGTCAGGTATAACTTGAGCTCTGGAAACAAGGTAAGTTTCTGGGAACATGTGTGGGTGGGGGAGGCAGCACTTAAAAGCCAATTCCCTTCTCTATTCTCCCTTTCTAGGTACAAAAACTTGATTGCCTCATCATTAGTCCCATCTGTGGGTACATGGCCTGAGCTTAATTGTGATTTGGATTTTAGATGAGGTATCAGAGATTCAGAGTTGGAGTTGGTATGGTCCTTGGTTCAGATACTCCAAAAGATCTTCTTAGAATCGACAAAGGGGGATTCCTGGATTTGGATACTTTCCTCTTCTAACTCTTTCAATTGTGCCTCTTTTTTCAATGCCCTAACTCAACCCTCTCTTGCTCCTGCCATTCCCTTTCCTTCTAAAGAAGTGTGAGGAAGATCGGTTCCACCTAGGGTCGGAGCACTTTGCTAGGAAATAGCTTTGGAAAGAATTAATACTTGGCATCAACTTCAAAGAAAGAAGCCTTTTTGGTGCTTGTCCCCGAACTGGTCTACCCTTTGCAAAGCCAATGGCAAGCCTTGCTCTCACTTACTTATATCCTGCCCTTTTATTTCATCTATTTGGGAGTGGTTTCTCTCTTTATTTGGTTGCAGGTGGACTCCCCCGTCAAGCATCGAAAGCCTTTTCATCTACTTTATAGGTAGCCAGATCAAAAAGAGGGGAAAAATCTTGTGGAGGTGCACCAAGGCAGCGATTTGTTAGACAATTTGGGAGGAAAGGAACCAAAGGATATTCGCTGAAAAAGAAAGAAGCAGGGATACAATTATAGAAGTGATTACTTTGAGGGTAGCACAATGGGTAAAGACAACGAACCTACTTGATGATGTTCCAACAGAGACCATTGTGAACAATTGGCAGGACATAGTAGTCTCAGTGCCAAGCAGAACCAATGTTCATCCTTTGTGGCACCCCCCGATGGAAGGTTTTATCAAACTCAACTTTGATGGGAGCAGTGAAGGAAATCCAGGGCCATCCGGGGTTGGTGGTATTTTCAGATCAGAGGTAGGTTCAGTAATAGCTCTTTTTTCAGGACCAATTGGAGTTGGGGATTCACTGAGAGCAGAAATTCTGGGTCTGTTGGACGGAGTGAAAAGGGCTAAGAAGCTGAATATAAACAGGTTGATTATTTTTTTTTGATCAATATAAACAGGTTGATTATTGAAGGAGATTCGCAAGTGGTGAATGGCTGGATAGAGAAGGCAAATGATGGGTTATGGACATATATTAATGAATGAAGGCAATTCAAGTCGTTAACTCAAGGAATGGATGTGTGTGTCCAGTGGGTTAAAAGATGTGCCAATTCATTTGCAGATGCTTTGGCTAAACAGGGGGTGGGAAGAAATCATTTGTTTTGGGCTACACTGTAATTTTCCTTTTGGGGGTGAGGTAAGAGAGTTTACCTCCCTCCACCTTTGTATTTAAACCTTTTTCTTAATTAATGAAAGTTTTCTGTTACTGATCCAAAAAAAAGCCACCAAACAACCCCCAACATACCCAATGGATAAAATCAACTGCTGCAGTAACAACCAAAGCCAGCCAGAAGTCATCTCCACAGACACCACCAGCTCACAACTCATTTCTTACCCATTTCTGCCTCTTGCCCTTTTTTTGGTATCCTCTCATATAAGCTTCCTACAACCCAAGGCTCTACTATACTACAATGCCTTGATTTGGATATGGATTTGGACATGGATACAGGAAACAGGGAAACAGCTTTTCTGTTTTCTAAAATCCCAGAAATGGATACAGGTACAGGTATCCCATGTAAAATGCCCATATAATGCATTTATGTCTAGCTTCAAAGCTAAATGTCATTTCTCAGTATTATCCAGATTTAATTAAGTTTCTATCATGTAGAGACTTTAAGGCATTGTTTGGGAGTGCTTTTTGTTTGTAAACAGGTTTTTTGACAAAGAAAAAGTTAACTGATTATATTAAAAAAGGAGAAAGATACACGAGGAGATGTACATACTACAGCTAAACCAACAAAAGGAAATTACGGAGGCAGATTTCTTTCACTGTACATAATTTCCCTAAAGGTAACCGATTTAGCTAAACCATCACTATAGAATTTAATTCTCTGGGAATCCAGATTAGATTTACAGTCATGGTGTTCAGAATGTCTCTGGCCTCAGCCAAGTAATGAGCTAGTCTCCAAGGGCCTCCCTCCCCTAACCATCTTATTGTGTTTGCAGAGTCTCCTTTTAGAGTTAGAGCAGATCAGCCCTTCTCTTTAGCAATTCGAAGACCTGTGAGTGCAGTCAGGATTTCTGCTTTTGAAGAATCAGACACCCTGATTGGGCAACTGTATGCCCACATAATGCTTTCCTCCCTCCCTCTAAAAACTCCACCAATTCCAACAACTCCAGGGTTTCCTAAAGCACTTCCATCAAAATTTAAAGTCAGCTCTGATACCAACCTTGCAGGAATAGTAATTGACATGCTAGAGGTCCTGGTGAGGAGAACAGGATTTCCCCCAAATCTCTTTGTAAAACATTCAGAGATGAGCCTTTGAACTCTGCAAAGATAGAGACCTATAGATTGCCCAAGAAAGTAATGTGGGAGAGTAAATCTTCAATAGTTCTGGTTTTGCTTTCAAAGAGGCGATTGTTTCTTTCTTCCCAAACACACCATAACACTGTTTGGGCAATTGTGCACCAATAAATTTTCCCCCTGCTTGCAAGACCACTGCCCCTCCATTGCCTACGAAATCAATTAAACTACTAGCAAATACACAGCTGTACCCTACAAGATTAAGGAAGTAGTACCAGAGTTTCCTGTTTTCTGGGCAGTGAAGAAAGAGGTGATCAGTGGATTCAACCTCTTTCAGACATAAAGGGCAAGCATGGGGGGAGATCAACAATCTTCCTTTATTCTTCTTCTGAACCAAGTCACAAATGTTGATTTTGTGGAGACAGGCCTCCCAAACAAAGAAAAAGACTCTAGGGGGAATGTTGGCGCACCAGACCCTCTTGTGGGGAAAATTAGAGTTGGAGGATTCCGTAACCAAGGCTCTAAAGGACTTAGTTGAGAACTTGCCATCAGGTTGAAGTTTTGAAATGCGTTGGTCTGGGTTTGTTGAGGAAATGTAAACCTCACTTAGAGATAAGTGCTTATTAAGATAAGCACAATTTAGCATTTGGCATGACATTCTAAAAAGGGCTTTTCCAAAATGTAAATGGGCTTCTTTTTTAAAAAGGGCTTATCAAAAACATAAGCAATAAGCCCAAATTTTTGGCTTTTACTAAACAGGCTTTTTTTGGTGAGAAAGTGCTTTTTAGGCCTTTTTACCAAATGCCAAATCAGGCTTTTTTTATAATAACTGGTTATTATAAGAACTCCCAAACATGGCTTAAAAGTGTTAATGCTATATGGTACATCTAGAAGTGTCCATGAAGAATCTGGTGTCATACCCAGTAAGTACCATGTCTGACACCAGAATGCTGGGCATGTACAGGTATCCAGGTCTCATAGCTGATAGCTGCTATATCCCAATATCCCATTTCAAAAGACTATGCACTTTCTTATGGACATTCTCCATCCCTATACTTTCCATCACTGGTCATAGTTCTATCCTTCTGGACCCACTACCTTCCCCTGCCTCTGATCTTTTAAATGTGGCCTCTGCCAGTTTATTTTCTATTGGTTTTTAGGGTACCAACACTGGTAGCAAAAAGATCAGAGAAGTATATGAGGGGCATCTTGTGGGAAGCAGGAGAATCCAAGAGAGGTCACTTGAATATCTAGGATGTAGTTACTGGGAGGGAGCAAGGGGTTCTAGAGGTGGGCAATTTAACATTCAGAAATTTTGCTTTACCAGGCACGTGGTTGTGAGTTTTTGTCAGAACTGGTTATGGCATAGTGTGGTGGTGAGTATTTGTAGATTGCGTGTCAATGGGTAGAATGTTGATTATTAATAAGATTTTGTTATTGATTACAGAAAATCTTTAACATGATATACTTGTCTATCCCACACCTCGTCAGTCCTCAGTCAGCCAGGGCATTGACCCATCTAAGAAACCACCCAAATAAAGTGTTTAAGGTGGAGGCTAGGTCCTTTGTCTCTCTAATGGGAAACCTTAGGGACCAAAACTCTTTTTCCAGGCCAATTGGCCATGCTTATTCATTAAGCGCAGAAATCTCAGTACTGCTGCAGGGGTTGAGATCAGCAAAGCAATTGGGATTCAGGAAATTGGTGGTGGAAGGTGGTTCCTATTAGTGGTGATGTGGCTGATTAGCAACAGCACTGGTGTATGGAGCCACAGGCAAGCTTTGAAGGAAATCAGATGCATTGCAAGAGAGATAGAGGTTACATTTAGTTGCAGTTATCATAGGGCAGCCCGGTGCACAAGGCTCCCACCAATGCGGAGTCTTACCCCTACACATACAGAGAGGCTGTTTCCAAGATTTGAACCCTGGTCACACAGGCCACAATGGAGCAACCCAACCATTGCACCAAGGCCCATCCCAATAACCTTACATTTAGTTGCAGTTATTGATAAAAAATAGAGGCTACATTTAGTTGGGTTAAAAGATCAGCCAATGGATTGGCCAATACTTTAGCCAAACAAGGGGTTACGGGCACAATTATTTTGGGCATTATTTTAAGGTTATCGGGGTGGACTAGCCAAGTCTAGCCATAATTGTGGAATTCTAAGGAACAAGGACCACACCCCACCTGATCCCTTGACCAATTAGCAACCCCTGCTACCCAAACCAAGATTGAGAAAACAACTCTTCATTAGGACCACATGCAACCAATATGTAATAAATTTGCAAGGGTATGATGTAGCTTCTCAAGACATGATCACATAGAGCCATTTCTCAACTCAAAAAGGACATAAGGTCCAACTACTTATACATTCACATGAGCCATGAACAACAACAATTTTTTTTGAAAGGTAAAATGAATTTGTATTGAGAGAGAGAGAGAGATTCCTTCAATCAAAAAAAAACAATTACAAGATATATACACCACCATGAACAACTTGATAAACAGAAGTTAATAATGACAACTAATGCTTTATATAATATGAAGCACCCAACACCATACAAGGAAGGACAGGAAATCAGCTGTGTGGATGCCTCCACCTGAAGGATGGGTAAAGCTGAATTTTGATGGAAGCAGCCAAGGAAACCCAGGCCCTTCGGGGATAGGAGGGGTGCTGAGAGATAATGAAAGCAAAATATTAGCATTGTTTTCAGGCCCCGTGGGAATAGGAGACTCCAATAGAGCTGAGTTATTAGCGGCAGTACAAGGTATTCAGATTGCAGAACAGTTAGGAGTCCAGCACTTGGTAGTTGAAAGGGACTCTGAGATTGTTGTGGGATGGCTGACAGAACCAGCTTCAGCTATGTGGCGACATAGAGATATGCTAAGGAAAGTCAACTGGATCACAAAAAACATGGCTGTTACCTTTCATTGGGTGGGAAGATCAGCAAATGCCTTAGCGGATGGGTTAGCTAAGAAAGGGGCCTCAAGGGAACATTTATTTTGGGCTGCTTTGTAATTTTAGTTCTGGTCAATTCTTCTTTAGTTTGATGTAATATTTGTTAGAAGAGGTAACAACCCGTGCCTCCTCTTGGGTCTACTATATTGTCTCATATTTCTGTTTTAATAAATTATATTCATTCATCAAAAATAATAATAATAATAATAGTAATATGAAGCACTCAACAAATATCCAAAGATTACTGATCAAAAAATCCATCACTAAGACCTACAATGACCACTAATATACCTAGTTAACTTCAGTTTACAAAAAAAAAAAAGACACCTGCAAGAATTGGCACCAGTGATCAACCAAAGGCCAATGCTTTTCAGCAAACAGCAACTGCCACATCCCAATAGCTGTATCCAATGCCAAAGATTTCTGGCCCTGCAAATAAGCCACCAAAAGTGAGATGCAATAGCAGAATTCCCTGGATTTTAGTTTGCTAGTGACCTAGAAAAAAACAATAGGAAAGGAGAAAGGCATGTCAAGAACAATTAAGGGCCCGTTTGGGAGGGCTTTAGCATTGATTGAGCTGTGTTTACTGAGCAGCTTTGAAGAAGCTACCAAAATTAGCTTCACCGAAAGTCGAATTCTCAGCTCAATGTAAATGTTTTTGAACTTTCCGGATTTTTCACTAAACATAGCTCATGGCTTTCCATGTGTGGCCTATCTTGCAACGCCAGAAGCCGCTATGTGAAAGCCTCCCAAAAGGTCACTAAATAAAAAATTATGCCATAGCAAGTTTTAAGATGCATATAGATCTCCATGCATAGAGCCACTAATGCCAACTCCCATTTTATTTACAGAGATTCAGTGCAAAGTGCAAACAATGTAGCGGGAGTCTGAAAATACAATAACTCTACCCCTGATGCAACTGTAGATTATAGAAGAAAGTCGTCTAAAAGATTATATTAGGTCATCAACCTACATTACCCTCTACATTATTCCATCACCACTCTGTGACACAACAAAGTAAATAGTGCTTAGATTTCAAAATGTAAATAAGAACATATATAAAACTAGCTCACATGGACTTCAAAAGTCAAAACTTAGATGAATAAAAGCTCAAATAGAGATTAGAAAAACCAGACGTGATCATATGTACTGGCCAATTTAGAGAGAGAGAGAGAGATCCTAAACAAGTTAACAAAAAATATTCTATTTGGGAAGCACACTAGAGTAGTACATGTATGCTTATAGCTAGAATCTTATTAAAAATGGCAATATGTGGGTTGGTTCAGATCAATATGGAATTATTACACCATGCTCATTCTATATTTCTCCCTGATTGATGATAATAGGCATAATTCAAATAATCTATGCAGCTTTAATATCTCCAGGTTAATGCAATTTAGAGAGAGAGAATAGCTTATTTCTCTGTATCCCATATGGGTTTCATAATCGTAGGAATTGCTCCCATAACACAGGACTTACAGCACACCTTGATCCTCTAATACATAAAATTTGTAAGCTATGGGTCCCCATGACATAATCATGAATTTGCCACCTGACACCCAACCCAAGATACTCTCCCTCCATGAATCAGCATAAGAGTATTTCTCAGCTTGATAATCACCGTTTGAGACAGCAATCCACGAAAAGAGGCAGCAGCAGAATGGGCACATAGCTATATATAGACTTTTTCCTCCTCTCTTCCTTTCTTTTCCTTTTCCTTTTTTCCAAGTTTCTGTGGCACATGCATATCAAGATTATCTAATCTTATAAAGCCATATCACAACGATACAAACTGATGGTTGATGCCCTTGAACATGTTTGTATCCACAAGATGGATGTCACACAATTGGGCCAAACATCCAATATACATCAACTGATATGGATGGGTACATGTAAATACTTTGCACACAAGTATTCAACAGTTACATAGAAGAAAAGACAAATATAAACCTTGGAGAATGGAGGTGCACTATAGTTACTATCATATGGAGCACATTGTAGGAAACAAATGGCTCAATCCTCACATCGACCAAATTGATTACCATTATATTTGCCCAGTTGATCTTTCATTGCAGATAAGTTCAGTTATTTTTCCATTGACTCACTGATCAAACGATGGGAACTGGTCAGCCTGTAATGCAAGTCCCCTTACCTGATAGCGTAATGAAACTCTATCTGATTTTTGCTCTATTATGGCCCATCATTCTGATAGTGGAAGTGCAATTAGAGGTTGGTAGAGGGTGTCTTCTCTACTGTGTTGTCATTTTCAATTGAGATGCCCTCTAGTGAGAAGAATGATCTGTTACATCCTACAATTTGAAGGGGCTAGAAGGACTAGGAGCAGACCAAAAAGGGCATGAGCTACAGTAGGAGAAATAATGGCACATTATTAAACAATATATATCTCATTGAACAGAATGGAAGTATGGAACATGATTCATGCCTCTAGGGAGCTTGCAGTTGGCTTCCTCTTCATCAGAAGCCCCAGTCAGCAGTGTTAATGATTAAAAAATTTTCTTGATGTTCCAAAAAAAAAAATTACTTTCAGAGTAACCATTAGAGCATACTAAATTCCATCAATTCTATTTCAAATTAGAATCTGAATGAGATAAAAATCCAGAAGGTTATCAATGAACAAACAATCAGTTTCCACAGCTCATAAACAAGGCGTACCTTTTCCTTAGCCCAGCCAAAGGCAAAGTTGTATATCTCACGGAACTTTTCTGTATAGACATAGTGGGAAGAGAACATTAATTCAGTTAGAGTGGCTGGACTTCCACCTACTACTTCCAAAAAGTTGATCCAGGACTAGGAAAATTCCAACTTTTCTGAATTGCAATTTTATAACCCAATTCCAGCTAAAAATACTGAGAAACATGAAACTATTTCAGTATAGATTGAACAATTTCTGCTTCCTGGAAATATAATAAACTTACGTTCATCTTTTAGTTCTGACCGCATAAATTGTATCCTTTCACGGAACTTTTCAAGTGAATCTACCCTGCCATCAAAACATTCAGTGTCATTATGATGTAGCACCTAAATTTCAACCCCTGTAGAAATCAAAAACTTGAAGAAAGCAATGAACAAAACAACAATAATCAATTAATACTTACCCCAGTGACTGTAATCCACCTATAAACTCCTGCTTTGAAAATTCACACATGGTGGCAGCTTTCATATGCCAGGAGACAACCAACTGCAGTGAAGGAGAAAATCCACATCAACTAGAACCTCCAGCCAACTCATCGGAACTCACCAAGTTAAGAATTAAGACAACATTCACAACTGCACTAAATAAAAATGTTTTAGGCATTTCACAAATCCCAAGTCTTGACAATGACCTTCACAAATTGTTGAGTACTGAAATGCATTTCATTTTTTGAAGTGTAACTTTTGAGGAAACGAATCATCAATGACAATATTTTTATCCTACTAGTAATTAAGCACATGCGTTGCACGTGAGAAATTTTTCTTCATATTAATTACTTGAATTTTAGATATATCATAGTTAAGATAGAAATTGAAAATTAACAAAAGTAACAATACGATTAAAGATAAACTTAAATATTTATTATTCAATTATGACATCATGGGTTTTTTTGAAAGGTTAGCTTACTAACCCACATCTAGATAAGAAAATAACTTTGCTTTTGGATTAATTTTAAATTATGGAAAATTATAGTTGGAGCCGGTTGTACATTTAAAATTAGGCTACAAGTTGGTCCATAAACCAACAAAACTCCGACAGCCGGCTCTACATTTCAAATTATAAAAACCCTCGCCATGTCATTGGAGGCTTATGTGGCTATTGCTAACATGGGACTCTTAATCCATGTTGGACACAACAAAAAGCTTATACTGAAATTGCCCTTTAATGTTGGGTGATTGGAAAAAAAAAACTCTTTCTCTCTCCTCTCTCTCTCTCACACACACACGCACAGTCATCTTTATCTGCTCGACGTCCATGTGATTCAAAAATAAATAAAAATGGTTTTTGGTTTCTATATACGTTCTCTATATCAATTTCTCTCATTCTCTCTCTCTATCTATCATTTTCCCTCAATCTCTCTCGTTCTCTTTCTCGGTGATCTCTCATTCTCCCTTAATTTCTATCGTTCTCCCTTAGTTTCTCTCCCGCTCCCTCTCTCGTTTTTTTTATTTTCTTACATACATATATGGTATTAATCAGATCGTATAAAAGAACATGAGACCAACTTGGTATGGTTAAAAAATTATTGCACCAATTTATTAAAAATTCACAAGAAGCTCTTAGCTATGAAATTTACACCAATTGGAGAACGATAGAGATTGAGGAATAAGGAGATATTGACCGAGAGAAAGAGTGAGGGAGAAGAATGAGAAAGATTGAGGGAGAACAATAGAGAGAGGTTTTGATTTGCCTATAGATCGAAGTTGAGAGAGTGGGAGAGACAGAGGGAACAGGATATCGAGAGATGACTGTGAAAGTGAGAGAAAAGGGAGGGAGATCAAGAGACAAAGGGATTGAGAGGGAAACTTAAAACCTATTTTCAATATAGGTTGTTGGTTGTGTCCAACATGGACTAAGAGTCTTATGTTGGCAACAACCACATAAGCCTCCAATGACATGGCGGGGTTTTTATGATTTGAAATGTAGAGATGGTTGTCAGAGTTTTGTTGGTTTCTGGACCAACCTGCAACCTAATTTTAAATATACAACCAACTTCGACTATAATTTTCCCTTTAAATTATATATTTCATTTACATTATATAAAATATTTTTTATTTATCACACTTAATTGTTTGTCTATGGTATTATTTGACTCAAACCACTAACCCACCATCTAAAAAAATTGCTTGATTTCTAGGTTAACATTAAATTTTGTATTACATTTCCATCATTGATAAAATTTTTTCTTATGTATAAAACTTATTTTTATTCAATATAATGAATGCACAATATTAGAGATGTACCCAATATTTTATTTTTTATAAATATATATTAGATATGTACTCAAATTTTCTCCATCTTTTTTTTTTAATTTTTGTGATTCTTTGTATTTTTATTATTAAAAAACTTATTATTTGACTATGACATCATTTCATTTCTAGGTAGATTTTGAATTTGGCATTCCATTTTCATCATTAATAAAAATACCTCTTACATTTCATAGTTATTTATTTTAATTTTTATTATTTAATTATGACATTATTTATTAATCCATTTGACCCCAAATGGTCGAATTGCTTACCCACCACCAGGAGGGAAGAAAATGGTTTTGTTTTCAAATTACTTTTCAAAATATTTATTTTTATATTATTAAAATTAACATTGTGGATTTAATTACAAGAATTTAAGAATGAGAAAAATATATCTTAAATATAGGATTTAATTAAAGAGAATAGGAAAATATTTTTATTTCCAATTGGTTTTAAATGTTACATTCCATTTCCATCATTAATAAAAACATTTCTTATTTATCATACTTATTATTGTTTAATATGTATGTTAAAAGTGTTTCCAATTTTTTTAATTTCTATTTTTTTCATTTTATCTATTTTTTATTTTATTATTTAATCATAGCAACATGGATTAACCCATTTAACCCGAAATGATTTAATTTCTTATCACCACCTAGATGAAAACACTATTTTTAATGGGTAGATTTTAAAAGTATAAGCTTTTATGTTATTGGAATTATTAATTTATTAAGTATGGATTTAATTAATAGAACTCAATGATGAGAAGAAACAAAAAATGACTTAAATATATGATTCAATGAACATGAATGCAAGTTAATAACTTAAATTTGGATTTAGAGAGAGAGAATTGAATGCATTGAATATCTTTAAATTACCTCTTTAACTCATTTAATATCAAGAACTGATTACCCTATTTGCCCTCATTTTTTATCAATAAATTTAAATATAGAGGGGTAAATTTTGTCCTTAGAAAATTCCAGAAATATTCTTGAGGCCATTCGTACTTTTTAAAGTAATATAGATTTTTAAATGGTGATCTATATTAGGTGTAATCACTAACATAAGTCATACATAATCAAAACAAAACCCAATACTTTTAAAGCACAAGGGCCTTTTCGTGCCCAAGGCACAAGGCAAGGTGTGCACATTTTCAAAGCATGGCACAAAATTTTGAAAAATTCAAGGAAAAATAAAAACGGTAATACATAAAAACTGTGAACTTGAATTTTAAAAGAACTTAAATGTTTTAAAAAGTTTATTGGATCAAAATAAAGTGCATAAACATAACATATAAAACATTAAAAGTGAAAATGAGGAAGTGAGAGCGAATATATGTGGATTGTAACAAAGTGCTTCAAGCACTCAACAAGTGAAGTGTGTAAAAACTTTCAATATGTGTATTTGTCTCATAATTACATTACTTCAAGTAGCTAGTGTGATACTGTGATGTTAAACATCTTCCAATCCCAATCCTAGGGAATGGCCCTCCGCCTATATAAAGACCCTTTGAATCAAGAACAAACATTTTTTGGAAGATAAATAATAAACTTCATTAAAAGAAAAAAGTGTAAATCCCAGAAGAAACCCTCACATATGCCCTTGACAACACTAAGACTAACTCTTCTACCAATTCCCCTCACACGAACATTCCATACAAAGCACAAATAAAAATAAATCACAAAAGACATGAAAACCCAAAAACAACTGTTTCTTGAACGAGGTCTTCTTTTCTTCTTTCGATTGGCCTTTTGGATTTTTTTTTTTTACTATCACATTAGACCCCATCCCAAACAGTACTTTTGTCCTCGCAAACACCTTAGAAACCAGAATATGAGGTTAATATTTTTTGTTCTTTTGAGTGTTGAGCCGTCTAACTGTACTTACACCTTCCACAACTTCCTTTGACTTGCCCAAAACAACCTCATCCCTATCTGAGACCACAGCTACTTCTGGCTTCTGCCTTGTCTCCACACCCCCTTTTTATGATTTCCCCACAGCCTCCATCAAAAACTTCCACCTCTTGAATCACTAAAGAGCTGTTTGGCAAGCCTTTCTAGGTATATCGTTCAAAAGGCCAGTAGACAAGAAGACGCACTGAGCTTTTGGGGTGTTATCTTTAAAGGTGTAGGTGTTCAAGACTGCTATCAGTCTTGATCACTAAGAAGTTTCAGATTCGATGAGAAGAGAAAGTGAAGAAGAAGTAGAAGAAAGAGTGGTGAGAGAGCAGTAGAACACAGATTTTGAGGAGAAGAACAGAATGTCAATATTCTGCCGCCG